TTCCTTGATAGCGATGCATTCCCAACCCAGGATCCCACCAAATTCTTCTCCGCCGCACCATATACGACTCACGGCCTAGTCACTTGGCCCGACTTCTGGGCTCAGACGATATCCTCGCATTACTATCATATCGCCGCGATACCAGAAGTCGCCTCTCAATCGAGGCTTTCTACCGAGAGCGGCCAGCTTCTCATCAACAAGGACATCCACCGCGCGTCGCTCCTCATGATGGTGTACTACAACTACTACGGCCCAGACTACTATTACATCCTTCTTAGCCAAGGCAGCCCAGGTGCTGGCGACAAAGAAACCTTTGTACAGGCAGCACTCGCAGTTGGCCTGCCCTATTACCAAGTCCAAACACCCCCCAGTGTTCTTGGCAACCATATGAATGGCACTTTCAGGGGGACCGGCCTCGCGCAAGCAGACCCGACACTCGACTACGAATACCTTATTCCAATGCGCAGCCATATTCACACCGAAACACTCTGGCGAGACGCCGACCTTGCGAAACCGAATACCGAGATCGGGAAAGGACATGACAGGATACTCAAAGCCCCACATAAACCATCGATCCTCTTCCTGCATCACAACAATCTCAAGCTTGACCCGGCGAAGATGCTAGACGATAAGCGAGTGTATGGGGATGACGACGGTCCGCACAGGATGTGGGGCCCGAACAAAGATATGACAGAAGACCTAGGATACGATGCTGAGCGCAGACTATGGGACGTCATAACGGAAGAGGGATGCAGATTGGACTCGAGGAGTGAAACATGTACAAAAGTACTGGCGCATGTGCAAGGGGTGTTTTCTTGATGGTAATGACGCAGTTTGAGACGATGGAACTGGCTTTGGACCAGATCGTGGTCTACGAAAATTGGTATGAGTTTACGTGATGATTCCGGAGTATATTTTGGCGAAGGGCATTGATGTCGTCATTTCCGGAGCAGTTTGTAGTATACCCCCTCTTAAATTCTATATAATGATCTCTCGAAAGTACAGGGGGTAATGAGTACCCTACTACGATGGTCACGTCGATGCATGTGAATGAGCGGTTGATGATGCTAAATTGAGACTGAAATGAACACAGAGCGCGCAGTACGTCTAGCAAAGACTGGACGATTGAGAAGAAGTATCATAAGACGTTTCTGCATTCATGAACTCGTTGCGCACTACCGGAGCTCGTTCGTAATCAAGACAAAATATGCCGAGAAGAAGCCAATGTGACCATGTAACGCCGTCGGCCCAGAGAGGTCGAGAAAGAGAAACAAAGAGACTACGCAGAGTGGTCCATCTCGCTCTGCAACAGGCTCTCCATGATATCATCTTCGGTCACCTGTGTCCGTCTCCTGTCATCCCTGCCAACGGTCAATGTGCTGTGTCCAGCCTCAGACTCAGCATCGTCTTCTTCCTCTTCTTCATCGTCATCCTCAAGAGGCATACGCGTGCCCTCACCCTGCATACCAGCTAGCATAGTATCTTCCTCCTCTTCCTCTTCCTCCTCTTCTTCGTCGTCGACCTGCGTCACATTAGACTTCCTCTGACTCCGCGATGCAGAGACTTCAGTAGCATCGCCCTCTGTCTCCTCCTCGTTGGCTTCCGTTGCGTCGGCAGCAGCAGTCGTTTCGGGTGTGGCTGTGCGCTCTACATCCGTGTCTTGCACTTGTGTAGTCTCGCCGAGTCGCTTAGTTAGCGTAGCTTCCAGCTTGATCAATGCGTTGCGTTGAGTAGCATCAGTGCCGATCTTTCCTTCTACAGCCTCGGACACTAGCTCGTGTAAGGTGCGGAAGGTTTCCTCGTCGAGTGCGCCCTCTTCTCCTTTGGGAATTGAGCCAGAAGGCGCGATGAACAGTTTGCCCAACAGTGAGAGTAAAGGCCTTCGCTCGTCCTTTGAGCATGTACCTGTCAATGCGCGTTCCAAAATGTCGATCGCGAGCTGGATGTGCGGTTCTTCAGCTTCGGCAATGGTGCTTGTCTTTCCGTCGAGACCAAGTTCAGTTGCGCCCACGACCTTGCGTCCATCGGTCCATTCGGCAAGATGGGCAGTGATGACAGGCCAGCCCACCATCTCGTCTACATCTTCGTCCTCAACGTTGTCGTCGCGCATGATGAGTAGTTTTGAGATCACTGGCACAGCAATCTCGCCCATCAGCTTTGCGTTCTTGAGCTTGGAGTGACAGTACACGGGCAAGAAGTAGCTGAGCGCTTGCCTCAGAGCGGGATTCGACGCCGTCTCGGGGTCAAAATACGTCAGGGTGAAGGCTTTGAGGACTTCGGTTGTCGATAGAGGAGGTAGAATACCCAGGAGGAGAAGTTTGGAGGCTGCGGTGCAAGAGATCAGGCCAATGCGCTTATTATCCGAACTAAAAGCCTTGAGCAAGATCTTGGTAACGGGGCGGATTCGTGGGTTTGTGATGGGCTCTGCATCTTCGGTCGAGGCATCTGGGTCTGGTATCGTAGGTGTGAGAAGCTGAGGATGTGTGATGATTACATCTGTCAGAACCTGAATGACGATCTCTTTGAGGGCATCGTGGCCCTTCATGAAACAGTGGAAGAAGAGATCGAGGTTGTTATCAGCGAGGTCCTGCTTCTTGTTAGTAAAAGTTCATGGGTGGGAATAAACTGATTGACTTACCTTGCTAAGGAGGGCTGCCAGACCCAAGCAGATGACACCACGCTCTCGTATCATGGCCTGATGAGCTTGAACAGCAGGGATGATGAGTGTGTTAAGGATGCTGGTGAGTGATGTGTCTGACTCCAGATCGCCTTCCACGTTCTGAAGTGTGCATTGAGCAATATGCAGACACTTTGAGTACACCATAACTTCGCGGATCTGTCGTTCTTCTTTCTCTTCCTCGGAGAGATTCTCGGAAGCCTTTGCGGTCTTGGGCTTGATCAACGGTGCATCCCCTTCGGCATCAGATTGCGCAGAATGGAAGCTCTCTTCAGCGTCCTCGCCAGTGACTGTAGCGTCGTCGGAATCCAGTAAAGAGTCGCGGACGTCCGCAATGGCCTCTACGATGAGAGCACAGAAGTCTGATTCGCCACGGGCTCCACAGACCTTGCGCAACACCTCGATGGCGAGCTTAGTACACTCTTCCGGCAGCTGAGCCTTGGCAATGGCTTCACGCATGATGTTGTACATTTGCCTACGCCCCATCTCGTCTGTATAGTCAAGGGTGTGAGCGATGTGGAGCAGTTGCTGAACAATGAAGTCTTGCTCCTCGACGTCTTCTTGCGCTTCTTCGGTCTCTGGGTCGTTCTCTTCCAGGACAGCAACCTTGTCCACCAATTCCATCAGAGAGTTGAGCTCTCTCTGTAGGACGAAAGCAAACATGGTGACTTCTGGCATCTTGTCCTCGATCATGCTTCGCACTCTCTCGTCATCAGTGCTGTGACTGTAATCGTTCAGTGTGCGGGCAATAAAGGCTGTCTGTGCATCGAGGTTGTTCCAGAATTCATGATCGAATGTGATTTCCTTGCGGTAGTCTGGCCGGCCGTCCCAAAACTGACGCATCGCTTCGTGAGCCATGCCCTCTTCTTCCCCAGATCTGGTGACATCGATACGCTCAAGAAGCTCGCAAAGTGCTTCTAGATTTGGCGGAGCGACATCTCCTGGCTTTTTCTCCTCTTCTGGTCGGGTATCGCGCCCAGAGGCACAGTCCTCGAGCCAGCGTTCACGGAACAGGATGGCAGCAGCCTTGCGGACAAGGTCATCTCGATCACGGAGACCCCATCGGATGAGCTTCTCACGTTCGACAAGAGACATATGGCGGAAGTCCCCTAACGCAGGTAGGATTTTGCCGTAGACTAATCGGCGAGTGGTAGCATCCATGTCTCGAGCTCGCTCCAGGATGTAACGGAGGGTGGATGGCCACAACGGTAGGTTTAGCAGAACAGCGCGTCGCACTTCGGCACTCGGATCGTTAATCATAATGTCCAGAAGCTTGTCGAGGATACCGCCAGCGGCCTCATCGTCGCTATCCTCGTCGTCTTGTTCTTCATCATCATTACCAGCCAGGCGGCCCAAGCCCAAGATGGCCTGCACGCGCACTGTCGGCTCTTTGTCTCGCAGACGCTTCAAGAAACCCAATCTTATTAGGTCAAATATATCGTCGTCGATGGTCGTAAGGCTGTTCACGATGTGCGCAACCGTTTGTGTGGCTCGGAAACGGACCGTCTTGTCCTTTGCCGTCAGGAGGGCGAGAATGGTGGTGAGAATGTTCGAGGTCAGCCGACTGCTGGGCGTTTCGTGGAATGCTGTGGCTTCTTCTTCCGACTCGGCAGCGAATATGGTTTGGTCTTTCTCAGAGGCATGCTTCAGGAATAGACCCAAGAAACGAATCACCCTGTCTCCAACAGGCTCGCTCTTCTTGACAGCCATAATCCTCAGTACACATCGTACTACCTCGGTGTTGAACTCTTCCTCATCAAAGTCTTCCTGCTCCTCGCCCTTGGACTTCTTCCCGCCCTTGCCCGTGTCTGGTGGCTCGAAGCAGCATGCTTCCTGTATCTTCCTGAGGTTTACGATGAGCTTCCTTTGTGTTGCAGTCGTTCTTTGCGCATCGCTGAAGACCTGGGCGATCTTTGTTCGGAGGGAGGTGACGGGGCCCTCATCGGGGATTTCGACTGCGTTCGAGGACTGCCTGGCGGACGATGCGCGCGTGGACTTGGTGGTGCGTGTCGTTGAAGAGGTCGATGTTCGCGGCGCACGTGTCGATGTGCGGCCGACCATGTTGACGAGGTCGTTAGTTGCGTGCCGTGTCGCGAAGTCTTGACATGCAAATGCGGGCGTCGGTGTTGTTGTTCGACTGTTTACCGTGACCCCACGCGGCAACAACTCGTGGCTGCAGGGGTCTCAGGACGACAGGGGTCCTGCAGTTGCGACATCGGGCGAGAGCGCGTTGATTCGCCGATCAGCCGAATGGCATCATCGTGAATCTTTAGTACTCCAACTTTCCCATGCTGACTTGTTTGCCTCTTTCTGTAAAGCAACAATGTTCAGGACAGCAGCGCGGAGTTTCGCCGCTACGGCATGGCGGAATGCTGAAAGCCTCAGTCAAATAGAGGCTGCACAACAGACCGCCATCCACATTTCGCAAGCCCAAGGCATTGGACAGCGGGGTTTCCTAGATGGTACCGTACTTGACAAGCATACCCAGAGAATCTATACTGACCCGTCGGTACAGCGATCGGTAAAACTCCTCTCATCCGCCTCAAGCGCCTCTCCAAAGAGACCGGCTGCAATGTCCTCGGAAAGGCCGAATTCCAAAACCCCGGTGGCTCTGTCAAGGATCGCGCCGCCCTCTTCGTCGTCGAAAACGCCGAGCGCCAGGGCCTCTTGAAGCCTGGCGGTACTGTCATCGAAGGCACCGCTGGAAACACTGGTATTGGCCTCGCACACGTCTGTCGCTCAAAAGGATACCGATTGGTAATCTACATGCCCAACACGCAATCGCAAGGAAAGATTGATTTGTTGCGCTTACTCGGTGCGGAGGTATACCCGGTACCAGCAGTGGCGTTTGACAACCCGGAGAACTACAACCACCAGGCGAAGCGACATGCGGATAGATTAGAGAACGCGGTTTGGACAAATCAGTTTGACAATGTGGCGAACAGGCAGGCGCATATTGAGACTACCGGGCCCGAGATCTGGCATCAGACAGGTGGAAAGCTCGACGCTTTTACCTGCGCCACCGGCACTGGAGGCTCGCTTGCGGGCGTGACGCGGTACCTAAAGGAGAAGAGTGGCGGAAGGGTCAAGAGCTTCCTAGCTGACCCTCCAGGTTCGGTACTGCACTCCTACATCCAGAGTGGCGGCAAGCTTCAGGAACGAGCTGGTGGTTCGATAACCGAGGGCATTGGCCAGGGTCGCGTAACAGAGAACCTGAAACCTGATATTGACCTTTTGGACGGCTCAGTACACATTAGCGACGAGAAGACCATTGAGATGGTATACAGATGTCTGGACGAGGAGGGTCTATACCTAGGCGCAAGTTCGTGCCTCAACGTCGTGGCAGCCAAGGAGGTGGCAGAGAAGATGGGCAAGGGATCAACTGTCGTCACTTTGCTGTGCGATGGCGCATACAGATATGCTGATCGCCTCTTCTCAAAGAAGTGGCTGGAGCAGAAGAAGCTGTATGATGCGATACCTGAGCGGTTGCGCCGATACATCGTACTGGAGTAGAAGACCATAAGCATATACAAAATGCAATAACATGAATGTACAGCAAAACACGCGTCTGCGTGATTATCTCCTCTATATTGTACTACTACTACACTGTACAAGATGTAACCTATAGAATGTCCATTATAGCCGAGCCTGCGCATCTAAATCATGGGGCTCCCGCTTGCAAATCCATTAGCTACAGCCGTTATCAGTTGATTTGCAATGGCAGTCTTCGGCGGCAATCTCAGTCCACCCTCCTTGTACTCTGGCCCAGCGTCATCTCCAAGTCCACTAGTACCAATGCGAAGCGCCTCTCTGATTTCGTCTGCTGTGAACCATTTCGCATCTTCCAGCTCAGCGTCATGCCCGAGGTGAATTGTTTCTCCATCTGGAATGGCCTGCCCAATTGCGCCAATCATGAGATTGGCAGGGTAAGGCCATGGCTGAGTGCTGTGGATAACAACGCGACCGAGATGGATACCAGATTCTTCCCAGACTTCGCGACGTACGGCTTCTTCAACACTCTCTGCGGGTTCGAGGAAACCAGCTAGTGTAGAGTAGAAGTGGGCAGGCCAGCGCTTCTGGCGCCCTAGTAGGATCTTCGTGCCGTCGGCAGATACGACGGCCATGATGACTGTAGGGTCTGTTCTAGGAAAGCACAGGTTCGAGATACCGGTTCGGGTCGCGCAGGGTGGGCGCTCGCCTTGGTTGACTTCGGACGCGATGTCCTTAGGCGGGCAAGTGCGCTTGAAACCGGCGTTAACTGAGAGAGTCTTGTAGCCGCAAGAAGCGCAGAAAGGGTTTCGTTCGTTCCAATCGAGGAGATGTCGGGCTTCCGCATAGATGGCCGCTGTGGAGTGTCAGATAAGGATCCCAGACTAGTCAAGATGGATCAACGGCAACGCACCTTCCTCAGCCTGCAGACTCAGGTTCATTCTACCCTTGCTAAACTCCAAGCCCGTGCTTGTCATTCGCTCCAGCAGTTCCTCTGCCTTCTCCTTCACACTCTCCTTGGGCGTGACATCGACGGCGAACCATGGTTGTCCTTTATAATGCTCCTTGTACTTGAATCCATCTTTCCGCTCGTCCAGGCCCAAGAAGATTATCTGTGGAACGTACAAGCTCGAGTTGTACTGCGCAATGACTTCTTCCTCCGACTTCTCGAACGGGTTCTCGCCGATGAGTGGTTTTACGTCGGCAAAGGTGCAGCGGGCGAGCTCCGACCCAGATTTTGTAAGGGGCTCGAGTTTGTTGAATAGCAAGAAGGTTGTGCTGGGATGATTGAGTGCCGAGGAGAGGAATTGGTGGTCGGGACGCAGGAAGCCCACGCGATTGAGTGGGGAGCCTGCATAATCATGTCAGAAACGGGCTGCAGAAAGGGTATAGGTGGGTTATCTAGGTACCAGAGAAGTAGTTGGCCACCTCTTTTCCAAATCGGCGGCTCAGCATCGAATCTACTTCTGGATGCGCTGGCTCGGGAAGCTCAGGTTGCGGTGGCATCGTCTGGTATACTATGACGTCTCTTGGCCTTGCACACTATGCTGAGAAAGAAAGATTAGAATTGGTAGTATTGAGACTCTAGGGGAACTCAGATACAAGATCAAGGGTAAATGCTACTGAAGGCAAGGCGACTGACGTCTTCGCTTTGCTTTGCCCCACGCCGCTAGATGGCGTGCATTACAAACCATGAGATGCGTGTCGAGTTCCGAGGCCTCGGTTCATTTCCGATGCTCCCAACCTTATCGATAGCTCTATTTGGACTTCTGGCAACACGCACAGCCTCTCGCAGGACCCTCCACATGGAGCTGAGACAACAACTATGAGCCGCTTCTATGTGCGTAACCCCAAGAGCCTTTCCTTATCGTGCGCGAGATGACGCGAGTTTGCGACTAACCCACGTCCTCCAGTTCGGCGACGACTCGCGTTCCGCATCCAGCGACAACGACAATGACGACGAAGACAATCTCTCCACCCTTCCCTTCGCGACGCCCTTACGCCGATCAGACTTCCTCGCCCCGAACTTCTCACCAGCAACATATCTCTCTACGCTCCACAACCGACACCAAACGCTCGAAGACCTGCGTTCGGAACTGCGGTCGCGATCGCAGCTTCTCTCAAAGGAGCTGTTAGACCTCGTCAACAGCAACTACCAAGACTTCCTCAATTTGGGAAACAGTCTACATGGCGGCGAAGAAAAGGTAGAAGAGGTACGAGTAGGACTGTTGGGCTTCAGGAAGGAAGTTGACGGCCTGGCCGGTGTCGTGGGGAAGAGAGAAGAAGAAGTCGGGGAGCTGCTACAAGAGAGGAGAGACGTTAGGGCCAAGATTGACTTGGGGAGGCGGCTGGTCGACTACGACGCTAGACTCAAAGAATTGGAGGCTGAACTTTTGATTGAGACGGCGGGGCACGAGACGATCATCCTCGGAGAAGAGGTCTCGGATAGCGAGGACGAGGAAGATGAAGACGAGGAAGATGAAGACGAGGAAGAAGAGGGTTACGGCGTCTCGATCGCCAAGTTGAGGCGGAATGTTGTGCACTACCGGTTGGTGCTAGGATTGCAGAAAGAGCTGGGTGAGCATCCATTCGTGGCAGCCCAGGCGGCCAGAATAGCAAAGGTGCGGAGTACATTGTTGATGGACCTGAGTACTGCACTGCAGCAGGCCAAGACTGCTAATAAGTCTGACGCTGGTCGCGTGATGAAAGTCATGAAGATATACGCGGACATGGAGGAATCTGCTGAGGCAGTCAAGGTCCTCAAAACACTGAAGTCACCATAAGAGAAGATATTGTCCAGCATAGCGACGGCGTTCGGTATGGTACATTGGTCATACACCCCAGAAAGCTACAGTTACAAAGGCCCACTCAACTCCTTTGGTGATATCGAGTCCGGTCCTTTAAAGTCCCCGCTCAACGTAAAACCTGGTGCGTTCGTCGAGCTAAGCACCACCTCGTGAATCTCCTTGGTGATACGATCGCTCATTTGCGCCATCTCCTTCTTTATCGCATCCATGAATCCCTTGATATTGTTCTGCATCTCTTCTGGCGTGAATCCTAGTTGTCCAACTGCCATACGAATCACACCCAGGCGTTCTCTGTACTCGCTACCACCAGTCATATTCCGGACAGTGACGCCCACGTTCGTAACGACCGTTCCTGCTTTTGTGCTCGGCATCAAGCCTTTGGGACCTAGCAGCCTTCCCAACCCCGCCTTGTTCATCTTCTGCAGACTATCAATGTGGCAGATGCACCGTTCGAAATCGATCTTCCCCTCTTTAATCTGGTTGAAAACCTCGTCTTCGCCTACAAGCGTAGCACCAGCTGCTCGTGCTTCAGCAGCGGGTTTCGAGTCGGGGGCGGCGATGACGCAAATTCGTATATCGGTCTTGACAGGGTGCGGGAGTCGTAATCGGTTTCGTATGACGGGTCCGTTCTTGAGTGTGCGTAGGCGTACATGTAGTTCGTATTTGGAGGAAGACGGGTTGCGGCCTACTTCAAAGGCGCGGATATATCTGTTCCACCGTCAGCCCTCGATCTTCGCACTTCCTTGTACATGATCCAGATAGAACGTACTGCATTGCATCGATAAGCGAGAATTTCTCTGCCTTCTTCAAGTCATGTTGCAAGAACGTGTTCCGCGCCTTCTTCTTTTTCTTGGGTTGGGCTTTTGTGGTTGCGCATCGTATCGTCTGGTACGGTATTGAAGCGAAGCGCGGGACTTCTGATCTCGAGGCGGCAATGGATGATATAGTGAGTCTGCTCAGAGGAGCTAGTAGCGATCGTGGGTGTGCCATTGGTGCTGATGCGGATGTAGGTGTTCGTCGCGACAGTGCCAAAAGTTCGGTCGGCGATTCGGGAATGCCAAGACATGAGTGGCGCTAGAATCCCACACCTTTGCTGTCTCCTCGCGTCAAGACATTCATGTGCCGTCACTCCAAAACCAGCCGGTAAACACATGTCCTGTTATCTTGAGTTCATCCTAGACTATCCCAACTGAGCCATGCGTGAGGCAGCGAGGCAGGAGCCAAACAACGAGACCGCGACGAAAGCCAACAACGCAAGACAAGTCCAAGGCTTCATTCACGGCAAAGAAGCAATCATACGAAAAAGGCTGCACTCATTTTGAGCTCGAGCATCCAATACCCAGTTAATGATCGGGTATGGGATATACCCACCGCTATCAGAACATATCTAGAATAAAGCGCTATATGCTGTACGGAGTTCTGCATGTAGCCACGGCATGGGCGCGTCAAGCTTGACAGTAAGCAAAGCCGACCATGTCAGCGACTGACTCATCGTTGCATGTTTGTAGGCTGGAATATACAGTGAGCATACCGTTGGCTAGCTCGATGAAGTTTGGTGTCGAGGCGCAAAGCCGTCTGATTCGCACGACTGGGTGTGATCCCAGAACAGCCGCAATGAAGATAACTTTAGTTGGGTGTCAGCACTCTGCGCGGCCGATTCTCATTGGGGCCTGGAACAAGGCCCTCTACCCAGAGGTGTGCAGACATAAGAGTCACGAAGCATCGGAATGACTAGTCCAGCCGTGGACAGCCGAGGTCTTGCGCTAATCCTTATTCAGTGATTACCGAGCTTAAGGAACGCCGATTGGACCTTTCGTCTAGTCTATTCCGATGTATATCAGCCTTCAGAGGCTGACCAGAGAGTGATATAAAGGTTGATAAGGAAGGCCCTGTGAGAACTGGAAACCTCCTCTCACAGCATTTGACAACTATGGATCACACAATCTTCACACCGCAGCTAAAGTTGACGCGGATCATGGCAGCAGAGAGAGGAAGCCAAGAATTCGAGTGGCTACACCAACTACGCAGTGACGAGAAGGCCGCATTTTGGAGGTAGGTCGTCCCGTCTTCTGTTATCAGCCAACCATATACCGTGCATCATGTACACCGGGACTGAATTAATTCCGCTCAGCATTGACGGGATCGCCAAAACCGCCGAAGACACCGAAAGGTTCACCAAATACGCCCTGCCAGTCACGGTCAGCGAAGGCGAAAGCA